TTAACTGAGTTGAGTAAATTCAAAGAAATAAAACAGTTTTTAACCAAAGAACATGAGTATGTTGCTTTGAATTTACTCAACTCAGTTAAGTGGAACCAGGTAACATAACATGGTTAAGTAAATCCAACATTTCATTTTTAGAGTGTATATATTCCATGAAAGGACCCCAAATGTTTATAAAAAGTGATAGTTTCCCTTTTATAATGTAAGTAATCTTTTCTGGGAAAGTTCATATAACCAGATCTTTTCTGCATTGCGCTAGTTACGAAGAAAGAATTTGCTGTGACTCTGGTCGTCTTTGGAGAAACTGTCTCCCCCTTTATTCTGACGAGGACAATAAACAGAAAAGCAACCACATTAAGATCTACCTGCTCCAAGTCCCTCATAAAGAATATAAATAAACTAAAATCAGTCCCTGTCACTCCACAGTCATAAATTCACTCACATATTTATATTACAGGGTGAATATGTATCTTACAGTGACGATAACAAAAATTCACCTAATACATCCATAAATCAACTGGATGTATATTGATGAAAAAACAGTAGCATCCTCTGCACAGGACAAGATTCAAAAGGAAGGAGCCCAGGGGGCACAAACAATTTAACAAAATAATACCACAGAAGAAGAAACAAGGAGGGGCTTCAATCATAAGGTCATACTATTACAGTGGTTTTCATTGTTTTTACAGCCAGATATAAAAACTCAATAATAGAACGTTTTGTGTAATTATAACAAAGTACAAATACAGACTGGTTACATTTAGACTGCTCAAAAAACACCTGTTTTGACCATTCCACAGGTGAACAGGTTAATTAGAAATAGGTGAGTGTTGAATGGGTATAAAGCGCGTATGAGGCAAGGTTCACCACTTTGTGAACAACTGCATGAGCAAATAATCCAACAGTTTAAGAACAATGTTTGTTAATGTACATTTGCAAGGAATTTAGGGATTTCATCATCTACAGTCCATAACATCATCAAAAGATTCAGAGAATCTGAACAAATCTCTGCAAATAAGTGGCATGATGACCTTCGATCCCTTAGGCAGCACTGCAATAAAAACCAACATCATTCTTCTACTGCCACATGGGCTCAGGAACACTGCAGAAAACCATTGTCAGCTAATTTAATTGCTACATATACTGAACAAGTGCAACTTAAAAGTCTACCATGGAAAGCCAAAGCCATATATCAACAACACCCGAAAATGCTGCCAGCTTCTCTGGGCCTGAACTCAACTGAGATGGACTGACTCAAAGTGGAAAAGTGTGATGGGGTTTGATGAGTCCACATTTCAAATTGTTTTTGGAAATAATGAACTTTGTGTCCTCTGGGCCAAAGAGGGAAAGGACTGTTCGGATTGATGGCATGGGTAACTTTCATTGGCATGGATCACTTGCACATCTGGCACGTTAATGCTGAAAGGTTCACACAGGCTTTAGAGCAACATATGCTGCCATCCAAGCAATGTCTTTTTCAGGGAGACACTTTCAGCAAGACAATGTCGAGCCACATTCTTCTTGTGTTACAACAGCGTGGCTTTGTAGTAAAAAAAGTGCAGGTACTACTAGACTGGCCTGTCTGATGTCCAGACCTATCTCAATTAAAATATGTGGCACATTATGAAGCGCAAAATACAACAACAGACTCCAGACTATTGAACAACTCAAGTTGTACATCAAGAAAGAATGAGAAAGAATTCCATCTACAAAGTTTTAACAATTAGTGTCCTCAGTTCTCAAACGCTTATTGCGTGTTGTTAAAAGAAAAGGTGATGCAACACAGTGGTAAACATGCCCATGTCCCAGCTATTTTGGAACATGTTGCAGACATCAAACTTAAAATGAGCAAGTATTTAAAAAGACAATAAAGTTTATTTGTTTGAATGTTAAATGTTTGTAGTGTATTCAGTTGAATAAAGGTTGAAAAGTTTTTTATGTTTTATACAACACCAACTTCATTGGATTGTAAATTGCATATTGGTTGTAAATATTGTTAAATATTTATTTACCGATCAGTTTTATTGATAGCATAAATTCGTTTAACTCAGTTTATTTCTGTATGCAAGCATTTTCATATTTTAATATTTTATTGTTTCAGTTTTAAAATAATTTTTAAATTATTTTATTTATTTATAACGTAGTATATTGATACTTCTTCATAAACAGATGTATTTATTTTTATATTATGTCATCGTATTGAGGACAATATAATTGCAGTTTGGTAGTGCTTGTAAAGGAATTCCTGAAGATCAAAGGTCACTACTCTATCTTACCTTCCTGCACTTCTTGTACCTTTTCTTTTTCTTCTGTTTCTTTTCATCTTTTCTTTTCCTTCTCTCCTCCTCCGTTTCCTTCCTCTCCTCCACCTCCTCAATCAGGGGTTCGTATTTATCCGGCAGAACGCAGAAATAAACTTCTTTAGAACTTTTTTGTTGCTTCTTCCCCGCTAAAAGAGCACTGCTCTTTTGCTGTTCCTGCGTTCCCATCCCTCCCTCCTTCTTGTCTGGCACTCTGCTCTTGTTTTCAGACAGAAGGACCTTTGGACTGAGGAGGAGTCAAACTTTATTAGTAGCCTGAAGCTCCCTTCATGCACAGGAGAGTGAACTTTGTCATAAAACTTTTAATATGTGGGATTACAGAAGAATGTGATGTTTTAAATGGATTTCACTCACTTGAACGAGTGAAGGTTGTGCAGCAGACTGGTTCTCCAGTGTTTACTTTAGAAAATAACCAAACTGATCATAAAAACCTCATCCTGAAGATGAAATATGTTATTAAGACATTTTTCTAAACGTTGAGAAGAAAGGTTTATTAAAAGTAATACTTAATGAAATAAGAAAACAATGACTGTATAAAATGTTATTTAAAAATCATTCAAACACTCCAAAATTAAATCTTTACCATTATCTTAATACTTAAACATACAAATATATTTAAGATGGTATAGTGTCAGAACTTTGCTTTCCTGCAGTTTGAGTTTGACTTTAACCACAGGCACAAAACAAGCTCCATGAAAAAATGTGTTTTACGGTTTGGAGAAAAAGTTTAAATGACAAGTATGGAACTTACTTAACAGCAAGAAGGCATAATTACGATCTCAGAATTAGACAGCTGAACCTGTCTTCAACTTGATCAGTGAGAACATGCTGCCTGTTCTCCATTTGAGAAAATCACCTCCAACAAACTGGTTGATTTGAACTCCTGGGAACCTCATGCCCGACCAACGTGAGCTCTGATGTACCGAGATCCATCCGACCACTGTTCCTGCAAGCGGTGATGCCCTCCTGGAGCTGTGCCAAGGTCTTTCATGCGTTCACAGGACTCCAACCTGGGAACATTTAACATCCACTCTCCTGCCTGAGTCAGCGACCGCACACGTCAGTGGGAAGAACCTCCTGATGCCGGATCTCCAGATCCTTGTCTGTGCATTATGGTTTGGTGTCAAATTTATTTAACATTTGTTCAGGATTATTAACAGATAAAGCCGTTATTCAATAGTACTTTTATTTTGCTTTGCCATTTGAGTAAACATTTAATCCTGATTTACTTTGAGTTAGTCAGCTTAAAGTTTTCTCTCCTCTTCATCCACAGTAATTTAAAATATAAAACTATTTTTTAGACCTACAATGTTTCATCTCTTACTCTTATTGCCATAAATTACTGGAACCATCATACTCATAATTCATCCCTTTGTTTGTAAATAGTTTGTAAATATCCTCTTTTGTAACAAAACCAAATAAACTAAAAGTACTGTGTCTTAATTCAACCTGCAGAGACTCAGGAGAAGACAGACTGAAATTAGGAAGTTTATTGACATGAATGACATAGTTTGGCGCTCGGACCCCGGCAGAGGATGTGAGTCCTGTGAGATGTTGTAAGCCCAGATAAGCTGCTTAAGATAAGGGGTAGGAGATTTCCCCCCCACCCCCCGGGGCCTGACACTGGTGGTGGAGGTCAAGGAGAGGGAAGTCTATGGAAGCCAGAAGATGAAGGGAGGAGGAGGGGAGGAAGGTTGACGTTCAGCTGGCAAGCAGACGGAGCGATTGAAGAAGATGCTTTTATCCACTAACTGTCAAACGCTGATTGGATGAAGTTGGGCTTGCGATGCGGTGACTGGATGGAGCAGGTGAGGTTGATCAGTCTTCCAGGGTTGAACTTTCATCTAGACTCCATTTCTTGTGTGTGTTTCAGAGGGTCTAACTGTGCTATGAACCTAGTTTCCAGTGCATAAATCTGAGCTGAGGCTAAATAAACTAGAGCTATCGGTAATCTAAACACAATGCAAAGTACTAAATATTAATGTTCTTATTTGTGCAATGAAGGCCAGCTGGTTAGGGTTAAGTTAGGCTAGATGTGGACCTTCACCTGCATCTTTTTGATCTTGACCTGAAATCTTGTTGGCCTAGACCTTCACACCTAAAACCTAAAAGAAACTGCAGTCAGACAGAAAGCCTGGGGTGTTTCATGTTTATTGTCTTTGATTACTATTCTTCTTCTTCTTCTTCTTCTTCTTCTTCTTCTTCTTCTTCTTCTTCTTCTTCTTCTTCTTCTTCTTCTTCTTCTTCTTC